CAGAACAATAACAGCAGTACAGTGGCTGTGGTAAGCCGTGGTCGGCGTACGTAGCTGAGGTTGTAGTTGAGAGTGAGCCATCATCGACACACAGACGCCCAAGCTGTCTCGACCTGACGGCTACAGACTTGTGGTAAGTAGGACCCGATTCGCATGGTACCCGTCGATTGACATGTACCAGAATCGGTTCACGTTCTCTTATGGCGTCAGCAGGATACTGGACCTCAGCAGTGGCTCGCCGGACAGTTCCTCGCCGCACCAGTCAAAGTTGGCGCCGAACATGACCTTAGTTTCTCGGTTGTCGAGATTACGTTATCAGGGCCTCGGTTTGGGGGAACCAAAGCACCCACGGGTAGAGCAGCATCTCCCGGTGTGATCTGTTTCCGCACAGCTGCATTCAACGATGCAACATTTCCGCCACAGAAGTTTTATTGTTCGTGGTGTGTGTGTGCACATGCACGTCTGCTGCACGCATGAACGTCCGTTTGTTTGTTTACGCGAGACAAATTCTACTCCGTCAGGCATGGATGATCGCGAAGATAATTTCCTTAGTGTTGCGGCATTGGCCACCTAAACTCGCTTCGGTCGTGTGGTTGGAATCGATCTACTGCACGTAAAAGATACCCCGTAATGTCCTCATGAATCTTGATCATGCCTCGAACGATGCATAGCGGCGAGAGCGCAGAGCCGTACGGGGAAGGTTGTGGTTGAATTGCCTCGTGACGGCTTCCCACGTGCTAAACACATGACGCTCGATGATATCAACACAGACGGCCGAGGTCAAGTCCCTGTATCTTTCCCGTGATGATTCTGTACAGTCCCATCGCTTGTTTGCCATGCCTCGCACGTCCCCTGATCCCATGGCGACCTGTCCCGGCCATGTTTCAGTGCCCACGAGATCTGGTAGCCCGGGCTGCATGATAACGTAGCCCTGTCCTTTTCCTTCCTACTGTTTCTGTCTCGCGTTTTTCGTCATGTTTCTCCTCGTAGTGAGATATCCCAGGCACCATACGAATCATTTTGCGGGAACCTCTTAAGATACAGAAGAAAGCAAGCACTGCCGTGGAACCACCGTACATAGGGCTCGGGGCTCATGGCGACCAAGAAGGGCAAGACAAACGGCACTTAGAGCTTCGTAGTGCACGACAGCTGGCCATCGCTAATCGGTACCGCACGCCACCGCCGAGAGACACTGGGATCTCTCCGAGGTAGAGCTCGCCCGTGCCCTTCTTGATGGAGGAACTCTTTGAGTCCTCCGATTTGGGGGTGATCTAAGCGGGCGGCGCGGCACGAAGCCCGACGGCTGAGCTGTGCCGTCCCGTTTCGTGCTCAAACTGCGCGCAGGGTCTGTATCGTACATGTTCTGTACTGGTCAGGCGTACTGTACGACATCAGACCGCCCGACGGGCTCTACTGTTGTCTCCCGATTTAGTTGTCGCACGACTTCGATTTGGGTGTTTTTTGAATGGTATCACGTACCGTTGGGAGGCTCAATCGTCCGAAACTGCTACTGTACGACAGTTTCGTCCCGCCTGGAATCATTTGAAGGGAGACTTGTGTTTAGTAGCAGAGACACGTTAGGATATCGCGGAGGCTTTGTGCCGCGCGGGCTTTGTGGAACGGGGGAAGTCTCCCTCCGTAGGGTGGCAGATTTAATTCAAGGCAATTCGAAAGAAACCAAAAAATATAATTTACAACTTCTTGGGTGAATGCGAAAAAATATGGGTGAAAAGCTCTCGTAGGTACCAAACTTCGACGGTGGCACCGTCGACGAGGAAAAGGGATAGCTTGACCCTTCTCGCAATACAAAAGCAATATTCAGCACAAACCGCAGGAGGAAGGTGAGGCACGAAAATAAAGGAAACACGAAAAAACGGGCGATTTCTTTTCTGGCGACGTCTGGAAAAGAAAGAAAATATCGCGAAACATCGTTGTATAAATATCTCGACGACCACGACGTCAATTTACAAGCGGGTTGCTGCAGTGAATGCGGGGTGAGCAGATCACCTAGATTTATCTGGGGTATGAATGACTGCCCTTTTTTGTCAACCCCTCGGTGTTGTTTTGCAGAGCCAAGTTGGCAATTCTTGTATCATCATGTGCTTATGTATCTGTTGGCACATCAACACAAGCAAGCACGCCATCGTCTCAAAACGGGGCCAGCGGCAGTCAAGTGCAGCAGCACCAGCGGTGATTCGAGCTACCAACACGTCAGAGAGGTGATGCCGCCTTGAGATCCGCGCCTGTGATAGTGTGTAGTGAAAGACCTCACCTACACTGCTGCTGCTCTTGACATACATGAACTTTCGACGGCCAAAATAGAGCATCGTCTCTGATATGGCTGATCCCTGTCTCACCCAGTCGTTCCTCATCACACCACCTACGCGGAACAACAGTCGTTGCCGGAGTGGAGTGTAGTACAGTGCCACTGCGTTAGTGTAGCACCGTGTCGCTGTGCGTTGGATTGTTTGCGTCTGACCATTATGATGATCAAGCCGCTTCTTTTCTTTCTAGCATCAGCGGCTGTCTTGCTTCCATGTCCCACAAAATGTTCCTTGTGTGCTATGTGCTGGATGCTGGGTGTGCTGTGTCTGTTGTGTGGTGCCAAGATCGCAGGTGGTACGTGCACCTCCTGCGGCCCTTTTCAAATGTGTCCCAGTATCACAACGGTAACCAAAGGACGACAGTTTCTTCAACTGTAGTACAAAAAATGTGTCCCCGTACCGACGGCAGGGCTCCGATACTATTGCACCGCCGACGCCCCGGTGTTCAACCCCTCTTGTGTGACCCTGCATCCCTGGATGGTCGTAATGGTACGAAAAAAGACACTGAAAAATGTAGTACATGGGGGCTGTCTCCATGACAACATAGCCTAAATAGATGCAAAACAACACAACACATGCCTTTCTGTGAGTTAATGTCCCTACATTGTAAAGACTATCGGTGACACCATCGGAGCCACGTCCTACGACTTTCCCTTTTTCTTGGTTTCTCGGGTGATACTATTTTTTTTTCCCGTTCAATCGTTGCTACAAGCTGGTTCGTGGAAATCAACCCAAATTGATTCAACCACACAGACAGACAGGTGCTAGACGAAACTTGTGCACAACATTGGCATATATATGTGGTGTCTGTATGACGCCCATGTGCCAGGGGACACAACGTCATGGTCGAAATCACGATTTGAGCCATGACCATAAAGCTACAAGCTTAAATGTTCCTCGGCCAATCAGAAGCCTTCAACATGATAAAAAACAAAGAATCCATGCAACACCGCACTACTACTACAAACCCCTCTCTACCGAAGTATTGACAAGAAGTAATCCGTAATGCTCTAGGACACGCAACAAAAAAAATGAGAAATTGATAAGTAGGTGTAGACGCGAGTTACCCAACACACATGTGTTCGGACGGCCGCGATTGTCGAATTTCCGCTGGACGTACTTGATAAGATGCACAGACATCTTGGTGTTGGTTTTGCCTTGTATATATCCAACGAAACAATTACATGTCCCCAAATTTGACAGCAGGGTTCACCAAAGTGCCCCAACCCGAACAAAAAAAATGAGGGAATGTGGGGACTCTTGACTAGTTGAGAAGGGCCCTCGGAGTGGGACCCCCGAAAGTCGAATCCACGTACCTGAATGTGAACATCATTCTATTTTCCCGCTCCGGGATATTTCAATGAAGCTTTCCAGAAAGCTTTGAGGGATAACTTGTAAAGCTGGCGCAACACTCGGCATTGTAGTGTAGAAGGGGCCCCGCGGATACGATTCAATACTATTATGAATTAGCTTGGGGTGAAGTAAGGCCAGTTAGTATGGAAGAATTCCAAAATTGGAATCCTCCGCCCTGGGGAAACAAATTCCTGCGCCGGAATTCCAATTTTGTATTCTCGTGCCACCCAAGTTATGGGGAAATTGGAATCCGGAGCGTGGGGGGGGTTGATTCACCATGCACGGAGCGGTGCATGTGAATTCAAAAATGGGCGCGATTCTCTATCGCACTTCCAGACCATCCTTCATACCATCCGCATCGAAACACCGCGAGCATGGCCAACTTGCCCCCTGATCTGAGCGAGTGTGAGCCAATTGAATAATGGGGGGCCGATCAGCCACGAGAGGAGATAGTTTGGTCGTGGAATCGATTCGTTGCCATGGGACCAAGAGCAGGATGGTCGCATCAGCAACGCTGCCTGTTGCAAAACCCGGCCGCGTGCTACGCCAACCAATCTGTCAGGGACAAACCTGACATGCATGCGTCTGAAATGCATGCGCATGCTGCAAACTGCATGAGGACGTTTGCGGGTCCTGGGACTATACTATTCCTCACCGAATCGTGCGGAATTACCATGCCTGATGGTCTCGACGCAGCAGAGCTGGGGAAGGTCTCCATGAACGACGGTGAGTAGCTTTAGGTTGGGGAGCGTCGACACAACACATATCCCTCTACTGTTCAAATGTGTAGGACACCGCCTCGGTGCCTTCATGTAGCAAGAGGACTACATCGACTGCTGTGGTATGTACTCGCCGATTTTTGTTGTTTTTGTGTATTGCCACCGCCGGCGCGCTTTGTGGCGGCAACCGGCGGCGCCGGCGGCCCCGGCAACGGCGGCGTCCGCTATTTCACTGCTGTAGTTCTCGCGTGATGTGACGCCGTATGTGTGCCGGTAGCGTCAAGAAACAAACCTCCGCGCGGAGAAAAACTGGCATCAGATATGTACGCACGGGTAACGTGAAAATATTGCATACCGTTGTTGGTAACATGTAGTAATTAGACTTCTACCAGTATACTCGTATTATTTTTTTTTGTCGGCGACGGGTGGCGGTGGCGGTCTGGAAACCACCTGTTCGTACTGCTGTAGACGGCCACCTGAGATGGCGCCATTTGTGTGCCGGTAGCGCCAAGAAACAAACCTCCGGGGAGAAAACTGCCATCAGAATTATTTCCAACATGCTTTCTGAGACCTCCCTTTCTGTGTGTGTCGCCGCCGCCTCCGCCGCCGCCGTCGCCGGCGCGAACGGTCTGGAAGCCACGTACGTATTGCTGTAGATGGCCACGTGAGGTGACGCCGTGCGTGTGCCGGTAGTGTCGAAAAGCAAGTCTCCACGGGCAAACTGGCGTCAGATACGGAAAGTGTAGCATATGCGTTTCAATCCTCCCTCGTCCCTTGAATCCCTCTCCTCTCCTCACATCTGCCTCTCTCTCCCTCTTCGCCACCTGTGTCTCTCTGTCTTCCCGCTGTTTTCGTACGCAGCGAATCACAGCCTCTTTGATCCGCAGATGAACAAGTGTTGGACGCGGGGCCAGGAGCAGCGGCGCGAGCTGGAGAACTACACAGTGCACTTCAACAGGTACGTTGAACATCGGAGGGTTTTGTTTGTTTTCGACCTGCTACTTTGGACGAAGAAGACAACGCGTGACGTCGGCGCACGCATCACTGTAGTTGAGGGTACACGTGCCTGATATTGGTACACGCGTTACCGGTTCCTGGTTGAAACGCCAATTAAAACCTTGGGCGACGTTGGTGGTGAAGTTCACAATCCGGGGGTAGGCTCGTATTGCGCAGGAGCCACAGTCGACATCGTGGCGTTTTTTTGGGATTTTTATTTTTGTTTTCCAACAATCGGGGAGGTGGTGTATTGCACGGGACAGCACCGCGCGATGGTGTTGTAGTTGTGCTTCAAATGTATTTCTTTTTGTCGGTTACCTAGGAATGGCGGCATACGTCCTGTTAAAACTTGGTCGGGGTTTTCGGCTGCATCCGTCTTTGTTCGCGAGGTAGGTTATGGTGGCACCTCCTCATTGTACGCAGCTCCCCCCTGTGTCCTCGTCGTCGATGACGTTCAAGGGGTGGGCAGCGGAGGCCTCAGCGACGACTCCTACGAGGAGCTCAACAACTACGGCGACGACGACCACGACGACGATTTCGACTTCGACTGCGGCGGCGGCGGCAGCAGCGGCGGCGGCGACAGCAGCAGCAGCCGCAGCGGCGGCAGCAGCCGCGGCGGTGGATTTGAAGACGGCAAGGGTGCGGGAAGTTACGCGTCTGCCTCGAGATCTGGAGAGGGAAACCGAAGCAAGTCCAGCGGCAACACCGGCGAGGGCACGCGGCGGAAGGTTGCAGCGACCAAGGTGGGAATCAAGAAGGGAAAGAAAAGGGCCAGCAGTAGTGGCGGTGCGTCTGGCGGGAAGCAGTCGGCAATGAGGATGAAGCACGCCATGAAGTGTTTGTCAAAACCTACAGAGATCCTCGGCAGGAGGGCTACGAAGGAGAGGGATCGCGAGGAGAAGAAGAAAGCTCGGGGCGATGCAGCAGGGATGCAGGAACAGCTCAAGATTTGCCGAGAGAGCAAGGTCACTCTGGCTAAGGTGACGCAGCAGGTCGCAGTGATTTCGAGTGCATTGGAGCTTCAGGCGAAGACAGAGCAGAGGAGGGAAAGGATTGAGGAGTTGGAAAAGGTGGAGAAACTGTATCGGGCTCGCGGCATGGATAAGAGGGCGGACGAGGCTGCTGCGCAAGTGCTGGCTATTTTGGAGTCGCCGATAGCACGGGTTTTTGGTGGTAGCGGTACCGTTGCTGCGGGAGTCACCACCTCTGGGGGCGTGGGCATGATGGAAGGCGTAGAGGGCGGCGCCGGCGGTGGTGCACAGGGCGACACCGTTGACGTGGATTTAACCGGATGCACGAACGGCAACCGGAGTGACAACGCGGTCTCCGACGAGGCTGCCTCCGTCCGGGCAGGCGCAGGTGAAGCCGCCCGCAACCATGCCAGGGCTACAGGAGGTCCGGGATCGGAGGCTACGTCGGGTGCTGCTGCCAAGTACTACGCCTCACTCGGGGCTGCGCCTAGCGGACCCGCCACCGACGTTTTGGAGGTGGACATTTCGGAGAGTGAAGCGGATGCGGGGGGCAACGTGCTTGGAATGGGCGTCGACGGCGGTGGAGGTGTTAGCGGAGACGCTTCAGGCGGCAGTGCCGGCAGGGGCTTTGGGGGCGGCGGCGAGGGAGTGGGCGGTGGAGGCAGGCCGGAAAGACCGCAATGCGACGAACACCAACTTCCGTGCAAACTCTTGATACTTCGAGTGAGAATACAGTACGTTGTTGTCTGGGGCACCGCGTAGGGTGGTGGCACTCATGTTGGTTGATGACAGGGCTCGGCCCTACGAGTTCTTGGTTTATTTGTTTCTCGCGGGCGTTCGGTGTACCTCCAATCCAAGAGCCCAACTGACCTCGGCGTGTATACTTCCCTTCCCCGTCGTCACGAATAAATCGCACAATCCAGGGCAAAACATATTGGGAGTGCGGCATGGACGACATCGACAAAATGTGCGACCACTTCGAGGCTGCGGACGGCGTGAAGGTGGATGGCGGTTCCGGGGGGGGCTCGGATGCTTCAGCGGGCGCCACTGGTGCCGCCGNAGACGGCGTGACGGTGGATGGCGGTTCCGGCGGGGCCTCGGATGCTTCAGCCGGCGCCACTGGTGCCGCCGCGAAGGACAAACGCGGCGGGTCTTCCGTGGGCAGCGCCGGCAGTGGCTTTGGGGCTGGTGGCGAGGGCGCGGGCGCTGGAGGCGGGCCGAAACCACCGCAGTGCAAGGAACACGGCATTCCGTGTAAAATATTGCAGCGTCAAGTGAGTAAAAGAATGCATGCCGTTTGTGTGTGGTGATATATGGGGTACCGCGTAGGTTGATGGCGCTCATGAGGCGATGTGTTGCTCGCTCATCACCGATCCCGGCCTATCGGTTTATGGTTAGTTCGCATTGGTTTTTCGGGAGTATCGCAATTGGAAAAGCCCCACTTATCTTGCCTCGCGCACCTCTGCCCTCCCGAAATACCGCACACCCCAGGGCGAAAACTATTGGGAGTGCGGCATGGGCAAGGTCGAGGATATGTGCGACCACTTCGAGCGTGCGCGCGGCGTCACGGTGGATGNCGAGGATATGTGCGACCACTTCGAGCGTGCGCGCGGCGTCTCGGTGGATGGCACTTCCGGTGAGGCTGCGCCTGCTGCCGCGGGTACCGCTTATGCCGCCGCCAATGGTGTTGGCGGAGTCGGCTCCCTGGCCGCCGCCGGCGGCGGCGGCATGGGGGGTCTTCACGGAACGGCGGCTGTGGGTGCGCCTGCTGCCGCGGGTACCGCTCGTGCCGCCGCCAATGGTGTTGGCGGAGTCGGCTCCCTGGCCGCCGCCGGCGGCGGCGGCATGGGGGGTCTTCACGGAACGGCGGCTGTGGGTGCGCCTGCTGCCGCGGGTACCGCTCGTGCCGCCGCCAATGGTGTTGGCGGAGTCGGCTCCCTGGCCGCCGCCGGCGGCGGCGGCATGGGGGGTCTTCACGGAACGGCGGCTGTGGGTGCGCCTGCTGCCGCGGGTACCGCTCGTGCCGCCGCCAATGGTGTTGGCGGAGTCGGCTCCCTGGCCGCCGCCGGCGGCGGCGGCATGGGGGGTCTTCACGGAACGGCGGCTGTGGGTGCGCCTGCTGCCGCGGGTACCGCTCGTGCCGCCGCCAATGGTGTTGGCGGAGTCGGCTCCCTGGCCGCCGCCGGCGGCGGCGGCATGGGGGGTCTTCACGGAACGGCGGCTGTGGGTGCGCCTGCTGCCGCGGGTACCGCTCGTGCCGCCGCCAATGGTGTTGGCGGAGTGGCTTCGGTGGGCGCAGGTGCCGGCGGCATGGGGGGTCTTCACGGAACCTCGGCGGCTGTGGGTGCGCCTGCTGCCGCGGGTGCCGCTCGTGCCGCCGCGAACGGTGTTGGCGGAGTGGCTTCGGTGGGCGCCGGCGCCGGCGGCATGGGGGGGCTTCACGGAGCGTCGGCCGCTGGGGGTGTTGCTGACGACACCCGTTCCCACGCACTAAATGCTAGGGACCTTGCTATCCAAGCCTTGGCCCATTTCCCCAATGGTGGCCAGGCGGCGGTTGCAGCTGCGGCATTCATACAAGCTCGCATGAACGGAAGGTCAGACACATAAGACTACATTGAAGGTGTCAACACAAACACCGACCATTTGTGTGCGAATCGTGTGCTATGTTTTCTCGAGGTTTGCTTTTTAGGGGGCCAAACCGGCTGCTGTCCCGGTGATTTCGGTGTCGTGTGGTGTACGTCGTGCCGTGTTGTGCGTCCCTCGCCGCGCTCCTTGTGTTAGCTCTCCCCTGGTGCCCTTGTTCTTGTTTTTTTGTTTCCCGTCAACAGCGTCTTCGATTTGCACTTCTGTCGAGCGAGGTGTTCATCCTTGACCAAGAGTTAGGAGGTCGAGCAAGAAGGAAGACAGCTCAAGAGTTTGTTCTGGTTTTGCAGTAACAAGGGGGTGACTTCCAGTGCACAGCTCTGCTGGTGGTTCAAATTTCGTCTCCCGCGTGGAGTGCGATTGTACGGGAATGTTTCCTCTAATACCCGACTTGCTTGTTTCCTACCGAACTATCGGGCGTGTTTTGGGGTTTTAGGGTGGTAGGTTAATAAGCACTTGCTGCCTAATTTGTCTCCGGGGGAGAGGGGTCCCCTTGTTGCGTAGATCTCCCTCGGTATTTCTTTTCGCAGCCTGGGGCACTGCTGTCCCNCTTGTTTCCTACCGAACTATCGGGCGTGTTTTGGGGTTTTAGGGTGGTAGGTTAATAAGCACTTGCTGCCTAATTTGTCTCCGGGGGAGAGGGGTCCCCTTGTTGCGTAGATCTCCCTCGGTATTTCTTTTCGCAGCCTGGGGCACTGCTGTCCCGACGATTTCGTTTGTTCGGCTTGGATATTTAGCTTGTGGAATATCAACCCTCGCGCATCCCAATAGAGTCTTTCCTTCTGGTGTCGTTGATATGGTCTGGTGAAGAAACCATTTTGTCTACGTTCCATGTCGATATTTACACGTGGACATTATTCCCAGGGAAAGGCGGCTGGAGAAATTGTGTGTAGCGGAATTGATATCGCCGACGAACATTGTGAGACATGATAGATCTCGTATCGATCAGTAGATATCCGCGTGATGACTCCCGTTTTTTGGGTTCGTGTTGCGCGTGACGAGACGCCGTACGGTGATGGTACGGGGACCTCGGCCTGGCCGCATTTCTTCATGAGTTTTGAGTGTTTTCATACGAAGGAAAATATACTCCGCATTAGTTGACGTAGTCTTTGTGGGGACTACAGTACGCAAGTGACTGTTTCGCGTAGAACAAGCTTTCTTCGCGCTGTGTTCTTCATAGAAAACGTAGGTTGTAGATTTATTCGCGTACAATGATGACTAGCAAACTTCTCCAAACTCGGGTGGGGGGCTGCTACATAGGTGTGTTACCGGGCACAATAAACAATCGGTAGACCCGTTGTGTGTCAGTTGATTGTTGGAGGCTTCGGTTGTCATGTTTGGGTCTACACTCTGTCACACCGTTCTCTTTCGCGAGGCTGCCGATCTTTCACTCTTAATTTCAACCTCTTGCTCATTTTTTTCTCAGCGGCCGGCCTCTATGGGAAAAATGCAAACAAACGCAACATGGCCCCTGGCCCTGCGATACGCGTGTCACCGGAGGCACCCTCACGGCGGTGCAACCGTTCTTGTTTATGCATACGGGCCAACACAGTACCGGCGTTTCACTGCTGTGCAGGAAGGTCTTACCTACAGGACCACAAGACCACAGAATTGTGCAGATGCACGTTTTTTTCTTCTGTCTTCTGTGGAGGACACCTGTCGAGATTANATGCACGTTTTTTTCTTCTGCCTTCTGTGGAGGACACCTGTCGAGATTATGGCAACCATTGCATCTGTGTGCAATACACGTCAAGATAGGATACGGCACTTCCGAGGCAGAAGAGTCGACAATAAAAGCACCGCGAGAGCTACTGAATTGCGGAGATTTATGGCATTTCACCGAGGGGAATCGGAGGGTTGCCTTCCGACCCTCCTTTCGCCCCTCGGGCCACTCTTCCTTTATCTAGTTTCTCTCGCTACATTCCTCAACCCTAGCAGCCCTTGGCAGTGGGATTAAAATGCGGCGACAACGGCCCCTGTCCCTGACAGAAGCCTGTGTCCTCACTTCACATTTACTACTCTGTAGCTCTCTTTTCCAAAACAACCATAGGAGCCTGTGGTCACACATTTGGGTACACTCGACGCCGCAAAAACTTAAGCCACTTGTTACGCTGTCTCTTTTTGGGCTGTCCCTTTTCTCAAAAAGGGACAAAGTTGCCCAAAAAGGGACAGGATGGGGTGGTCTTTTTTCGCTGTCCCTTTTCGGGAGGTTCAAAAACGCAAAAAAAGACCACGTAACAAGTGGTTTTTGGTCAGTTGTCCCTTTTTGAGAAAAGGGACAGCCCAAAAAGAGACAGCGTAACAAGTGGCCTTAGCAAAAACAAAAAAAATGTTGTACCGTAAACAAAAATAGTGTACATACGCACGCGCCAGGCCATGGGAACACAAAGCAAACCACCCCGACCCAAAAACATAATCCTGCGAAAAACAAGCTAAACCAACAGTCTTCCGCCAGCAGAGCGAAGAAAACTCCGCCTAGCCTAGAGGCTGTCCCACCCCCCCTCAACAAGAAAGGCGCAAAGATGGACCGAGAAAGGAAAAATAATACACCGAGACACAGAGGCCAAATCTGATGCCAATGCTCAAAAGACAGTTGTATGGATTACTCAAAGGGAATCGGAAACAGGCCAGACACGATTTCATAAAGTAGACCACATACAACAATGATACAACAACACGGCAAAGTGTAAAGAAGGCCAGGCAAGGGCAAAGGCAAAGGCGACACTTGGTAACAAGAACCAAAAACGAA